ATTGCACTTGGCCATCAATAATACATAATAATGCCTAATACTACAGTGATCGCAAAGAAGATCCAGAAAAATAATATATAACAATGTTTTTCCGTATTTAAGAATGACTAAATTATTTTAATACTATAGTGATCGCAAAGAATATCCGTAAAAATATGTAACAATGTTTTCCGTATTAAGAATGACTAAATTATTCTTCATTTTGGTTTATAATAATGTCTAATACTACAGTGATCGCAAAGAAGATCCGGAAAACCATTTTTTTTCGTATTGTTAGGCCTTAAATATGTTTCGATATCGATTTTCGAATTTTAAGAATAAAAAAATCTATTTTTAATTGTTTATAATTATAACCCAATATTTTAAAGTATTTTGAGTACGCATATCAATATGAATGTCGCATACACTAATACTGTAAAACCTATTTACGCAGTAATAAAGCGTTTTTAATTACCGGAAAAAAAATTATTAAAAAAGTTAATCGGTTGATTAACGTTAAGTGAAACATAATTTAACATATCGTTATAATGACAAACATTGATAGTAAAACAATAAAACTTCAAATATTATTCAACATTATAGTATTATCGAGATTTAAAATAAAAATTTATTAAAAACTAAATATTGTTTTTTTTTACATAAATTATATTAAGAACCTGACGATTTAAAATTCTATTTTTTATTTATTTAAATTCATTATTTTATAGTAAAATGCTAAATAAGACGGTATTACTAAATCCAACTTTAGCGTAGTAGATACGAAGCGAAAATCTAGCAATTAAAATCTAGTTAATATTAACATTATACAATCGATAATAGACATTTTAAAATTCAATTTTAGAAAATACTAATCTTAAACAAAGTTGCGTCGAATATATAACGATTTCGTCTTTTTTTTTAGTGGTGTAAGGCGTACTATTAAAATTTAGTTATTTCGTTATAAGTACTATATTTTAAAAATGAAATAATAATTAAATAAAAAAAAATAAAAAAAAAATTATTATTAAACCTTTATAGTATATTGGTTAGTTCGTGATTTATTTACGGGCGGTTCTTGGTTCGATAATCGGTATAGTAAAAAAAAAAAAAAAATTGTATGTGAGCCGTACTATGAAAATCATAACTACTACTTTAGTTACGATCTTCAGGTACAAGCACGGCATCACAGTTGTTCTACCTTCTTGGCAATATGTGAAATTTTTTTTTTATTACTCGAATAATATATATCTATTATTATAAATCTTCAAGCCTTAAGCAGAGGTGTGAAAAGACACATCCATACCATCTCTCAACTCATTGGTGGCAAAGTGCAGGTAGCTGCACAAAATGGATTCAAAGTTACTATGGTGGATATCAAGGATTCTTTTTTAGAAAAGGGAATAAATACCATCAAATCCTCCCTTAAAAAACAGTTCAAGGATGATGAAAACAAACAAAAAGAAGCAATCGAATCTACTCTATCGAACATACAAACTACTACTGATGTTTCTAAAGGTGCAAAAGATGCAGATTTGATAATTGAAGCCATCGTAGAAAATATTCAAACAAAACAAGATTTATTTAAAAATTTGGACAATATTGCTTCTCAATCTACTATATTTGCATCGAATACTTCAAGTCTACCAATTATAGAAATTGCAAATGTAACTAAAAGGGGGGATAGATTTGCTGGTTTACATTTTTTCAATCCTGTTCCAAGAATGAAGTTAGTGGAGGTTATTAAAACTGAAAACACTAGTGATGAGACATATGAAAGTTTGATGAGTGTTTCGAAGAAAATGCAGAAAACTCCAGTATCATGCAAGGATACTCCTGGGTAATGAGATTATAAGTTTGTTATTATTTTCAACTAATTAATGATGGTATGTTTTTATCTTAATCACTTATTTATCTTAAAAAACCAATTTAAAGATTTATCGTCAATCGTCTTCTTATTCCTTACTTAATGGAAGCAATTCGTCTTTATGAACGCGGTGATGCCACATCCAAAGATATTGATACTGCCATGAAATTGGGTGCTGGTATGCCAATGGGACCTTTTGAGTTATCTGATGTACGTAAATAATATTTTTATTATTTGTTAACTTTTGTTACAATATAACATTAGAATATTAAATTATTATCATTAAATAGTTTGTTGGATTGGATACGCTCAAATCTATTGTCGATGGTTGGAGAGAAAAGAAAAATGTTGATGCTAACCTTGTTTCTTCGATTAAAGTCTTGGATGATCTTGTTAAGGAAGGTAAACTTGGACGCAAAAGTGGCGAGGGCTTCTATAAATACAAATAATCACATAATAATGTGCTTATTATAAGATTAAAAGTTTTTTTCTATTTATAATGTGTAGTAAT